CTCTGCTTCGCCAGCCCCCATCCCAATGCGTCGATTAACGGTGACCCGTCCTGCCACGCGCACTCACCAACCCACAGATGACCCTATCGACCCTTCATGCATCCCGGAATATCTGGAAGTCAACATGAACGACAGAGGCCGCTCTGCCATGGCTGTCAGACACCCCGACCCACTGGAGCTCACCGAGGATAAACTACTCGATCTCACCCACCAAGCGCAGCAACGATGCCCTACCGACGCGGCGGATTTTGCTCCCCTGGATGAAGACCCTCGCCGAAGGCCGGGCGTATGCTAACGCCACAGGCACCTCGAGCAAAGTGTTCTTGGGGGAAACAAACCAAGAGATGAAAACTCCGAGCACGTACACCGACAGAGACGTCTGCGTCAAGCCGGCGCCAGGCGACGAGGAGAGGGACCCCACGACAGGTGAAATGATGGTCTACAAACTGGAGAAAAGTCTGTACGGCCTGTCACAGTCCCTGCCACGGAGGAACGACGCCATCAATGACAGACTCATCATCTTCGGCTGGCAGCGCACTCACTCTGACCCCTGTGTCTACATCTTCGTACGCGGGGACGAACTTACAATCCTCGCAATCTACGTCGATGACATCCTCATCACGGGCGGAAACAACGAGATCGTCAACAGGGAAAAGAAGGAAGTCATGGACAGCTTCGAAATGACAGACATGGGAGAGGTCAAGCGCGTAATCGGCATCGAAGTGCAGCGGGACTACGAACATAGCACACTAGCTATATCGCAAAGACCCTACGCGAGACATACTCTACAGCGATACCGAATGGAACAGGCAAACCAGGTCAGCACCCCCGGGAATGGAGCAGAACTATCAATCGAGCAGCCACGAAGACCAACTACTCGGACCCGAGGACAAGCAGAGATTCCAGGCCATCACCGGGAGTCTCCTGTACCTTGCCCAATGCACCCGCTACGATCTGTCATACGCAGTGCACCAACTGACACGGGCATGCGCAAACCCAGCACAGGTCCACATGGCTGCGGCCAAGCACCTCCTACGGTACCTACGCGGAACGCCGGGCCTGCCGATCGTGTACAAGGAGGGGCAGTTCAGACTCTCGTGCTTCACTGACTCGTCGTTTGGAGCCAACCCAGACAACGGCAGGTCTACCACCGGATGCCTGTTCTTCCTAGGAGGGAGACTGATCAGCTACGGAGCCAAGGCACAGACTCTCGCAGCACAGAACACCGTGGAGGCCGAACTTCAAGCGCTGAGCTTCAGTGCTNATGCCTGTTCTTCCTAGGAGGGGGACTGATCAGCTACGGAGCCAAGGCACAGACTCTCGCAGCACAGAACACCGTGGAGGCCGAACTTCAATCGCTGAGCTTCAGTGCTCGCGAGGCAGTCTACCTCTCCAACTTCATGACGGAATCGTATTCAAGACCCTTCGATCGGTACCCATCAACAGCGACAGCACCGGAGCATTGACTGTGGCCAGCAACGCGATGTTCAGCTCTAGAACCAAGCACATCGCGCTCCGGTTCTTCTTCCTCAGGGAACTCACGAAGGGGCACCGGATCACTCTTCACCACCAACCTAGTGCCACGATGTTGGCGGACATCGCGACGAAACATCTCCCGAAGCAGCGATTCGCCAC